AAAAAAAAAAAAAAAAAAAAAAAAAAGACAGCATTCTTTTTTCTCTTTCTTTCTTTTTTGCTCAGTATTTGAGTTTAGCATTTGGCTCAAAATTACAGATGGTTATGAAGATTAAATGAAGATTAAATCTTAATTAAGATCTAAGGATTTAGAACAAAGACTGGCACAAAATAGGAGCCAGTCAGCATTTGTATCATCATCCTCACCACTATCATCCTTATAGGCACGGTACTGGTAAAGTGAGGGGGTGAGACTAAATGGTCTAAGAGCCCTGGTGTGGCCAGACATGGTGGCTCACGCCTGTAATTCCAGCATGTTGGGAGGCTGAGGTGGGAGAATCACTTGAGCTCAGGAGTTTGAGACCAGCTTCAGCAACACAGTGAAACCCCATGTCTATGAAAAATACTAGAAATTAGGGCCAAATGCGGTGGCTTATGCCTGTAATCCCAGCACTTTGGGAGGCCAAGGTGAGAAGGATCAACTGAGGTCGGGAGTTCCACACCAGCCTGACTAACATGGAGAAACCCAGTTTCTACTAAAAATGCAAAATTAGCTGGGCGTGGTGGTACATGCCTGTAGACCCAGCTACTCAGGAGGCTAAGGCGGGAGAATTGCTTGAACCCAGGAGGCGGAGGTTGTGATGAGCCGAGATCACACCATTGCATTCCAGCCTGGGCAACAAGAGCGAAACTCCGGCTAAAAAAAAAAAAAAAGGAAGAAAGAAAGAAAAAAGAAAAATACTAGAAATGAGCTAGATGTGGTGGCTTATGATTGTCATCCCAGCTACTTGGGAGGCAGAGGTGGGAGAGTCTCTTGAGCCTAGGAGGTCAAGGCTGCAGTGAGCTGAGATCATGCCACTGTACTCCAGCCTGGGTAACAAAGCGAGACCCGTCTCAAACAAACAAACAAAAAGAGACCTGGGGTGGTCACAGTATCCTCCGACTTTGGTCAATCCTATTTGCTGGCTGGCTTTGTGTATTCAGGACTTCATCAAGAATAACTCATTGGAATGTAATTGGAATGTCCTGTATTTGCTTCTACCATCCTGTAAAATTTATTTGTGGGAAGAATTTTCCCTTTATTGGATGAAAATCTGGGCAGTCCCATGACCTCCCTGGGTCATTCTCAGATAATAAGTTCCACATTCATTTTAAGTTGGAGCATAGAAATGTTTCATTCAGGCCAGGCAGATCACCTGAGACCAGGAGTTCAAGACCAGCCTGGCCAACATAATGAAACCCTGTCTCTACCAAAAATACAAAAATTAGCTGGGCATAGTGGTGGGTGTCTCTAATCCCAGCTACTCTGGAGGCTGCGGCAGGAGAATCGCTTCAACCCAGAGGCGGAGGTTGCAGTGAGCCAAGATAGCACCATTGCACTCCAGCCTGGGCGACAGAGTGAGACTCTGTCAAAAAATAAAAATAAATCAGCTCTGGGTTTGAGTAACCTCAGCCTGGATACCCTTGGAGTACAGGCAGGCCTCGACGTGGCCACTTGTCCTTCCCTCTTTCCTGCTGTGGGAGCATTCAACCAGTCACAATCCGGCCAATAGATTTCTCTAGTGGGCACATTTTCCAGACACTGGGGATGGGCTGGGTGTGGTAGTACTCATCTGTCATCCCAGAGTTTGAGATGCCAAGGTGGGAGGATCGCTTGAGGCCAGGAGTTACAGGCTGAGCCAAGACTGCACCACAGCACTCCAGCCTGGACAACAGAGCACAATCCTGTCTTTTAAAAAAGGGGAAGAAGAAGCAGCGTTGGCGGCGTTATGAGCTCAGCCTGTCGCTTTCTTTCGGGGCTATTCTCTCCTGCCATCCTCCATGTGGCCACCAGAGGGCGGTCTCTACACAGAAGGCAAATCTGTCCTTCTTCCTTGAAGACCTTGGGAACGGCTAGCCAGCCTCTGCCTATAGGCTGGGTCCAAGGTGCGGCCCCACCCGGGGCAGACGACCCAGAACTGCTTGTTCTTGCAAACCAGGCTGTGTTTCAGCCCTGGGCGTTACTCAGGCTGTCCCCTCCCACCTGAGGGACCCAGCCCCTCTTATCTGGAAGGGGACTTTCAAGACTCAGTTTCGGTTCCATTTCCAAGACACCTTCCCCAACCTGCCAACCTGCCGGGCTGGTCCAGGGCCCTCCTCGCCATCCGCATAGCTCTGCTTAAAGATCTATCACGGGCCAGACGCGGTGGCTCAAGCCTGTAATCCCAGCACTTTGGGAGGCCGAGACGGGCAGATCACGAGGTCAGGAGATCGAGACCATCCTGGCTAACGCGGTGAAACCCCGTCTCT